AGGAACAAAGCCAGCACCCCCTGAAGGTGCTGAGGGCTTGACCCCAGGCCCCTGCTCCTGTGCTTTCTGGGCAAGTGAATTACAGCTCTTTTTTTTTCATGTGATCTTATTAAAAATCGCCAATCACTTGGGTTTGAAGTTTTAAAATTCCAAGAGTAATAAAATGGTTATAAAAATAGTGATATAATTAGAGCAGTAATAATTTGAACAATTGGGATTAGGACAATATGAGACAATAAATACAAAGAGTTATGGACAGTTTGGGTGCCTTTTCTGGGCAAAATAAACCCGAAAAAGGAGCCACATTAACAGAGGATTAACCCTTAAAAACAACAGCCTGTTGCATATTCATATACTCCATACATGATGTATAAATTTTATTTGAACAAATTATTTTGTTTGGTCAGTGTCAATTTTTTTGTTCTGAATGATAATGGCATCTTCAGGGCTGAGCAAGGTGGGAAGAACTCGATAATGGAGCAATAAATTCTCTTTCTCTGAAAGATTCAGGGGTTTTGTGGCTGCTATTTTGGTGGGAGTCCTCTTTTTAGGAAAGGTATCTTAGTATAATTTCTATTTTAACATTATGTTATAACCTAAAACTATATTTAACACACTACTAAAAAAATGAATACAGCATAATTATCTAACATAACGCAGATAACATTCATTTGAATATTTGCCAAAAGCCAATCAGAAAATACACATTTTTACAAAATCTTCACAGATCCCAGAGCCCCCCAGGCTGGTGGGGACCCCAAACCATCACATCTTTGGTGGAAAACAAAGCCCAGGTTGGATTTCCCAGCACCTGCCCAGCTGGGTCTGGAGAACCTCCAGGGATGGGCACTCTCAATTCCTCCACTGAAAAAAAATTCTCTCTTTTATCAAAATGAAAATTTTCCTCTGTGCTTCTGGTGTCTATTACCTACAAAATAATTAAGAATTTAGTGATGCCATGACATATTTACTCATTTAAAACTTTGTCAGAAGTTTGTTCTCAATGCACTTAATTGTATTGCAGTATAGCAATAAAATATTGCAATATAGCAGAGCACAAAAGCTTTTCTGTCCTTACTCTGGGACTCTTAAAACCAACCAACCAACCAACCAACCAACCAAATAATTGTTACTTGCAATCAGCTAAACCTGGGCAGGTTGGTTTAATTCTGTTACATCCTTCCTGTATTCTTGAGGGGTCTGGCCAGTTCATAATATATATATATATATATATATATATACATAAAATATATATTGTCAAATACTTTGTACAGCAGTATGCAATAAAGTTCAGTTTATTGTATTTCAGACTTGAATTTTGGATTAAATTGTCCAATGCACTTAAGAGATAGTCTGGGGGCCTGGAATGATTTTAAGAAACAAGACCACAAGTGCAGATATTTTTCAGATATTTTTCCCTGCCACTTCCAGTACAGCTGCTTTTCACCCCAGCAGCATGGTTTGCTTTGAGCAGAGGATGCAGAGACCTCAGCAATTCCAAAGTAATCATTGCTGTGCTAAAAATGGGCAAAACCTGCCAGGTAATGGCAGCAGTGTGAACCTGGGGAGGGAAGTACCAGAATGTTCTGCCTGAGGCACAGGAATCAGGGCTGTGGTTCCTCCTCTGGGCTTCTGGGGTTTTCCTTGAGAGCTTTTATTGTCTGATAGAGACAGCCTGGGCCAGAGGAGTGCAGAATACTCACAGCACTCTGATATTCAAAGTCCTTTTTCAGCCTTTTCAACGTTTAATCTTGTCTCCAGGTTAGAGGGTACAGATTCTGCTTTGGTGAACTGGCTGAGCTGGATGGAGTTGTGCCAGGAAGAGACAAGGCATAAAATGTGTAGATTTTAAAAGTAAGAACTATGCTTCTGAGTGTAAAACATCTAAACCCTCATTTAATTTGAAATGGAATTTAAAAGGCAAAGGCAGATCTGTCTTTATGTATACAGAACTAGCAGATGCTGGCAGAAATTTACTTGCACCTAGTGATCTCCTGCTTCTTTATCCAGATGCCTCCTACCAGATAACTCACCTCACTGCAAGTGAGTTCGATGCTGCTGCTTCAGGATTTTATTTCATCACCCACTTCTGTTTTTAATGATAATGTAATACTTCAAAGTCCTATTTTCATTTACGAAGCGCTGACTTAGTCTCAAATGTAGGTAGGAATTAATGTCTCTATCTCGCTTCAAAACAAACTCTTGTGAAAAACTATTTATGTGATGGAAAGCTGTTTGTAACAACCCAAGGTCAGGGGTTCCATCAATGCCTGCATGAATCGGCCATTCACTCAAAGAGCCGGACTCGACGATCCTTTAAGTCCTTTCCAGCTCAGACTAGGAAAGGAGAGAAATTACTCTTGCCCAGAACTCCTGAACTGCTTACTGCACTGATCCTGGCTGCAATTACCGTCCCAAAGCATCTTAAGAGCTTTGATGGGTCTGTGGCGCGTCTGCCCTGCCCTCACCTCAGCTGACCCCTGTCCCCACAGAGCGGCCCGAACGTGTGTGCCGGCTACGGGAGG